TATTTGGAATCAATGGATTCTTTGTGACTACAATATAATACTGTTTGCGCTCGAAATGAAATTCCTGCAGTAACATTGCAGCAACATTTGCAATATTCCAGTAATATTATATTAACATTACAAATATTGCAGTAATATTCTTACAGAAATTAATACTGACTTATTTATTATTGAAAGACATTAATTACTTATTTGGAGTACTTAAGGTACTGATAGTGTTTTCAATGTCTAAAATAGGTAATTAATTATTATCTTCTAGTATTGGCTAGTATTCTGTAAGTGATATTGCTGCAAGTTTTTAGGCTGTGGGGAAAATACAAAAGTATATAAAAAATTGAGCAAAAGTTTTCTAACTCTAAAGATTTATGTATATACGACGTAATGTCATATATCATATATACATAACTTTGTCTCGGTTTATCTATTAAACATCCGGCCAATTTATTACGACATTTTGTATAAATCATCAAAGAAACGTTTTCTTATATAATGTTATGTAATTTGTCTATGCTCTTTGAGGATCAATCGAAAGCACGTAATATCAATTAACGATATGAGTAACAAACAAATGTTGAAAAAAATGTCACTGAAAAGGGATGAGGATCGATTTCTGACTCCTTGTCACCAAAGAAAACGTCAGATGTTAACTATTATTTTAATAAACGTGCAACTGTACGTACTTGCGTACATACACGGAGAAAATTTTATATTTAAAATTACTATAATGTGGTAGTAGCTGCGGTCTTCATGTAAATTATAAGTTTAAATGCTATAATTATTTTTTTAAAAACAATAATATAACGTAATTTTTACACTTTTTTATAGTAAAAATTTTTTATTACAAAATCAAACATACCTAGCAAATTTTGTTTGCGTACCATAGTAAAAATTAACTGTTTTCATGTTAGAATATGGCTTAACAAAATAATTACTTTATTTATGTGATAAAAATTAGTATTACCATAGTAAAAGTTAAGTCGGAATTATGTTGTGAGAGTCCATCGAAAATACAAGACATAGCAAAATGTAATTTTAAAATTGTATTAAAACTTATAATATAAATTTTTCTCCGTGTAGGCTTAGGAATTTTCTTAGAATACCGCCTGGCGTGTAAAGATCATTATCACGTCGGATTATTGGCAAGAATTCCACGCGTAACTCGCCGTAAAGCCTTCCTCGCTTAACTATTTTTCTCAAGTGTCGTCACGCGGAAAGTATGTAACGATCTAAAATACGTTTAATATCCCTTTTCTGTACTTCTATCGGATTATCTTATTTTTTTCCCTCCTGTTTCTTTTCTCTTTTTTCCTTCCTACATCTTTTTTTCTTGGAAATAATATTGATTACGCCACTGGATGCAATAAGACACGTGATAAAGTTTGCTCGCAAGTGATGCAACAAGCGCGTTACGCGTCTGTACTCGCATTTGATTCGCGTTTAACGATATTCTAGGCAGTCGATTAATTTGCCCTCGATGCGTATTAAACGCGACTAACGAAACGAGGCATGTGGTTCGAAAAAAGAAATTGAAATATAACAGACGAGGCGTTTACGCTTCGTTTCGGCAAGATTACCGTTTCTTTGCTTTGGCTATCGTATCGTTTATTTTACAGAAATAGTCCTGTATCCGTACACACGCGATAATCGCACAGTAATCCGCGTATGTCGCGGATTATGTTTAATATTTCAACAGGTGATCGACACTTTTTTCAATCGCCATGATGGAGCTCGTTTCATCAGTTTCGAGCGCGTATCGATCGAAGCAGAGATTATCATCGTCTGTCGAAAGGCATGCGCGACTTGAAAATTGTTTGAATCTTTTAGAAATCTAACCATCGATTTCACAAATCTACATTAGAAAAAAATATATTAAATTTTGGTAAATATTTGTTTGAATAGTACTAATTTAATATTTACACTTGTGATAAATATTTACTTAAAAAGGTGATTATTAAATCAAATTAATGGTTCTCGTATCGAAAATAAATATATGTTTATATTTAGTAAATATTCGGCTAGTACTATTCAAGAAAATATTTTTGTTTGATTTAGCACTTTTTTTTAAGTAAACAGAATACGATTATGGCGATTTTTTTCAGCGTTGAAAAACTTGAGTAAGTGTTACAATCGATTCATCGAGGGACCAAAATGCGGCCTTTTTAATTTCATGACCACGGAGAAACGCTTAGTCGCCGCCACTCTCTTATTGGTCGACGCGGTGGGTGTGTGCAGAGGCACGTAATCGGTTCTGTTTCTCCTTCCAAGAAGAAACTACGTCTTTCCTTCTCTGACGAAAGCCGTGGTGAAAATGACGTTAGTCTCGCAACTGCGCGGGACATTTGCTTGTCGTAAAAATAGAAAATTACAACGCGAGCGAAATGTCTCGCAGGGAAACGATGTTAACTCGCTATCGACTGCTCGATGATGTATATATTATACGCTAAATATCCTCTCGCCTGAGGCATTTTCCTCTAGCTTCTGCATTTATGAAACAAACATGTGATTTTTAAAGAAGGAGATAGAATATAGAAAGTGCAACTGAATTGATCTAGACTCGTATTATGCAGTTGTTCGGAATAGATTTCGATCGGAATTATTTTATTTTCCTTAGAAAACACAATAGAAATTTATAGAATAATTGCACCATTCCAATCGGAATTTCGATTTCCAAATATCTATTCCAAATAATTCCCATAATGGCCTAATTAGATCTGACAAATTGTATAACAAGTAATAACAATCCTATTAAAATTTTAAACGCGATTTTTTACATTTTCTGTAAATGTTTATTTTTTTTTTTTACTTATCTGTATTGTTATTATTATTATCTGTTATGTTGTAAGAGCAAATATAGAAATTGAATCTTTAAAACCACTTTACGTAAGTAATTCTGTTTGAAACCTACTTAGAATAACTTTTTGTGATAACGAGCAATTGTGTAAATACAAGCGTTTCAAAATCACACAGTGCAATGAATGTGAAGAATTTCAGCTATCTTGATAATTAAGATCCTCTTAAGCCTATTGAATCATCCAATAAACCATGTTATATACACTTGTCGAGTCTCGTGTACAATCACCAAGATTTTAATTACACATTAATGCATCATTGTAATATCACTCGATCATATCAATTACAATCTTTTCCGCTCGTTATCCTTCATCCAATGATAGATTGAGCACGATAAGGAAATTATTCGATACAACCGTATCGAGTATCGAATCTCCATGGAATCGTAAATATAATAAATTGTCATCTAATCGATATCAGGTAGAAAGTAAGAGAGGGTAGAAAGAAAAAAATTTTCTCGATTGCAAAATTATCAATAAGATTTTTTTTAATGTTTGCAAAATATTATTTTCTTTTATAGAAATTGAAATCTTTTTAAATATGTCTTTACAACTCGAACTTGTCCTTCAGGACAATTCCTGAACGGCAGGATACATCGCGGTCGATTAATTTCCTTGCAATAAGGAATCACGCGTCATCAACTGGCTCAAAGGAGTGTGTACATATAATTTTCTCCTCAAGTGTCGCACCAACCGCATCCGGGATGATAAGATGAATGTTCGGTTACGTTTTCGTGTGATCGCGTCGGGCAATGGGCCAGTTTTTGGCGACAGTTTTGCAGACGTCACCGGCTGCCGGCGAGACGCGGATTTTTTTCGCGCGTGTCGAGAGAAAGCCCACGCATATACGTGTACGCGTTTACCTTGCATTCCCACCTTTCCTTTTTTTTCTAACGCTTTCTCGTGTTGCAATAATTTCGTAATGAAACGTGACTACTTTGACTAATGATATCATACAAAAGGCGATTACTTACGTCGCGTTTATTTACGTCCTCGAATTGTAAAAATACAAATATAATATATATATCATACTGTGAAGTGATAAAACTCTTTATCATTCTAGAGGCGCGACAACAGAAGGGGATTGACGTTCGTATCACTTCCGTATAGTCGATTCCTTATTAGCGAATCAATAAGTCGATTACGTAACTTGACTATTTGATGATCGATTATCGTCAATAATGATCGTTTTCTAATCTCAATGTTTGTACTTCTCGTATGTATGTATTGGAAGTACGTACATACGTCAAAGTACATCCGCTTTGCGATGAAAAAAGAATATTTATATTTTAGATTACCAAATTTTCTCTATCTTTACTGTTTAATACATAATACTCAAAGTAACACGAAGAGACTTAATTCACTTTAATTATTATTAAGTTTGTTATTATTATTATTTATATATTTTATTAAATATATTTTTTACTTCAAATTATAAAATTAAATTATCAAAACAATTTTAATAAAATAATTAAAATTTATATTTTATTTAGTATTTTTATCATTCATTATTTTAATCATCCTTTTCCGTTATAACAACATTCTTTTTTTCAATACTTATTTATTTTTTGTTAAATTTGCATTCACGATTTTATTTTACTAAACTTCTAAATGTACCTATGTTGTTTTTAATAATATAGAATAGCTTTCTTTACAATCCCGGTTTCAAAATATTAAAATTTACATATTAGTCATGTTAAATTTTTCCACCTTTATTTGAAAAATCTGGAAATATCAGGGAATTTTATTTTCTGTGGCAACTCTGAAATACCATACGAACTTTTTGGCCAATCGATCTCAAGTGAAGTCAATTTTTAACATTTATGTAGGGAAAAAAGAAAGGAAAAGAAAAAAACAGATGTAACACAAATGTTTCTCTCATTATCAGCTAGAACTACTGACTTTTTTAAACAATCTCTCGTTCGCTTTTCAAGATAGCAATCCTACTGATGTCCATGACGTCATCATCCCTACGATCGATCTCCAAATCCGTGTGCACGGTGGATGATGCAATTGCGATTTAACTCGCGCGGGAGTCTCCCCCTTTACGTGGGTGGCTCACGAAGGGGTGAAAAACATTAGGGCGCTTGCGCAGTGTGATCGGCCGACGGGGTCGCGCTGGCTGCGCCAACCCCCGTGGGGGATATTCAGTCACACGAGGATCGAATCGAGCCCTCAGAGTAGACGAGTCTGCGCTTCCTGTCTCTCGCCTGCATCGCCTGCGAGGTGAGTTTGCGAATATTTTCTCACAAAATTCCGCACATCATTCCTCTGCTGATCATGGAAAAGAAGGGCTGTTCGTATCGCGGATTATATTGTATTGGTGCATGTATTATTCCTGACGTCTCCTTGGGTTCATCGAATTGCGTCGATCCTATAATGTCAGCACGAACATTGAGGACAGATGTTTCTGTTAGATATTGAAATCTTCGCATCGCACAATTCCGCCAAGTCGAATTCTTGATGACCGAGGTATGAAAAATGTCCCTTAAATTCATCTATGTTGCCGATCACAAAAAAATATTAAGGGTTCAATTCTCAGATTTTCATTTGAACTCCTCAAGATTGCGCCGGTTTCAGTTCTGAAGACACGGTAGAGTTTCGGTGCTGTTTAACTTACAGCGAATTTGATTACTTCCATTACATTAGTACTAAAAGCTGAAATTAGCACACATAAAATTAGCAAAGTTAAATATAAAAGGACATAAATATTTTAGACAGTTCAATAATAACTGCCACGTTACTTAATAGAATATACGTACATTATTTTATTGTCAAAGTTGATTATATTATGTTACTATATTTAGCTACTTTATATATAAAACAACCTTTTTAATGTATACTAATTCAATGTAATGCAAAGTCACTATTAATGTTTACTCGTATTCCACACTCTTACTGGCATCGTAATATCATGTCATATGGTAACATTCATGACAAACAGAATGGAAGGTGTATCTATTGACCTTTATGTTTGACCTTTGCTATCGGTCAAGCCGGATTTTCCTGTGACGCTGCTCGGACGCAAACGTGACTGTAATAAATACGATTTTTGAAAGAGACGATCGCGATAAGGTTTAATACCAAACGGAAAACTGAACGTACGATTCGTTTCCGTATGAGATATTTCGTAATGTACTTTATTGTAGTTGCGTGACACCATTATGTCACTTATATCACATCGTGCTGCACGCGGTATGCGTGATACATTTTGCAAATGTTATAATGTGCCTTTCAGTCTGAAAGTATACTTAATTACCTCACCGCTAAGTAAATGTAATAATTTACGCGTTATGCATAATTTGCGTGCTTAATTGAAATTCTTCGCACAAGAGATAAATTATATATTTTGTAGCAATAACATTAATGAGATTATCTCCAAGCGAATGTAATAAGTATCGCGTAATTATGTCATAATAAAATTTGAACCTTTTGTATGTATTTAATTCGGCTGTATAATTGAATTGCTTAATAAGGACAAGATATTAATTCAAATAAAAGAAAAATTAATTAATCAATCGAATCAAAAATATTACAATTATGAAACTTTTTAAAAGAGAGACCATCTTAATTATGAATTTAATTAGTATTTATATTAAATTGTAAATAAATATAAAATGCATGTGCACTTTTTCAGTTTTGTTTAATTCTATCGTAAATGAATTTTGGCCATAATTTTGGCTATAATTATGTCAAGAAAGAATATATAAATAATTTTTATTTGTTTGAAATTTTTTCTTTTATCTATGTTATGATTAATTATTGATCATTTAGTATTTTTTTATAGTATTTTTATTATTATTATTTTTGTAATACTTTATTATTATTATTATTTTTACAGTATTTTTTTTTATTTTTCCTCTCTAGAAATTTATTGCCAGCCGTTTTGTAGTCTAGACATGTCAATTATCAGATCGTGCTTGATAAATGCTTCATCTAACTAATCGGATTTGCATGAAATGAATTTGAAAAAGAAATATGTCAAAATAATAGAAAAATAAAGAGATGATTGCATCATCATGTCCTACCGACAATACAGTGACAAATGGAGTCTTCGAATGGAGTTTCCCGTACAAATTAACTTTAATATCTTGTATATTAATCTAACTAATAATGTATTATTAATGTCTGTTTTTTAATAATTTCAATGGAAAACGTAAAAAAAGTATTTTTATGGAAATCGATATTTATTGTACTTTTATTCAATTTTTCAACAATATCCAGTTCTTATCTCATCAAACTTCATGTTAACGTGAAAATATTTTTTATTGAACTTTTCTGTAGAGCAAAATCTAATAAAATGGGATTTTTTACGTAAAATGAGTTCATCACTGCTAATGCAATGTTCGTATATAATACATTTTGTCGCGATGTAATTCAGAATTTATATATATAATATAAAATATATAATAGTATTTTTGATAAATTTCATTACATATACACATGTTATCGATTGATAAATGTATCGATCGTGGAAAATATTTCAGTTTTCTCACTTTATAGTTTTAACATTATTGTTGAAATAAATTTTTTTACGACCTTCGTCATCATATCTATAAGTTACATCACGTTTACATTTGTCATCCTTAAAGGTGAGCTTTTTGTTTGATATTGCATCATATGTGCGCAGTGATGCAGACAGTGGCCGCTCTTAACCGATCGATATCGCATTTTGTAAGACATTCCAACGAGTTATCGCGAGTTCTAAAAGTTACTTTTTAAAACGGTTCTTTCTCATTTTCGAGCGATATTGGCTACGCTACAGATTTTTCGGGTCTCGTATATTTGCATAGAGAGATATCGCATATATGCTCAAAGATTACGTTTTTAGAATTTCACTGACTAACCAACTGTTTGTTTTCTATTCTTCCAAGCTGCTATACGATGGGTGTGGAAAAAGAAAAGGTATCGTATACATATGTCTACACGTTATTCTTACGCTAAAAGTAAAGCCGGAAGTTAAAGGTGAAATGCAAAAATTTTATGTAATTAATTTAATGAATAAAATCACGTTTTACTATTATTGTTTTTGTTGCATTATTTTATTTATAAACATAAAGTATAAACATAAAATGTATAAAAATGAGATTTTTTCACGTTTGTTTTATTTTTTATTTTTGTATAGAAAAATATCATAAGAGAGTCAGAATTTGCAAAAATGATTTAAGTTTCTGTTTTATGATGTTAAATGATTAATGTTTACATTAAAAGGATTAAAATTTAATTATCCCTACTTCTTAAAAAAATAGATTAGACCATCATTGTATAAAATTTTTCAACTATATTCTCGTGCTTTCCACCTACGCCGCTGATGTATGTTACGAAATTGGTGTAATTAAACATTTTACTCTAGTCAAGCGACGACATTCAGGAACAGGCGACAACGCCAACGGCTCTGGCTCCAACACCGAAGGTAATCTTTCTCCTACATATATTAATTCTCGAGTGTAATTGTTTATTTGCGCGATGAAGCCAGTAACCAAATGATAAGAAAATGTGATATTTTGAAATTTCAAGAAATATTTAAAAAAATATAATCTTTATTTACCATGTCGTATCGTTTTATATAGACGTTGTTTCATTAAGTTATCAAATTATTTAAATTATCAAATCAAAGTTGAATTAACAAAATTATATTTAGGTAATTCTTTTTATTATTAATTAAGTGAAACAAATATCTCTACTAAATTATAATTTATTTTATATATTTCTTCAATGCAAAATATATTTAGGCAACCATAGGATATAGATATAAGATTAACGAAATATTATTAACATTCAAAGTTACAGGATTATTTACGAGCGCTTATTATATTCGCTTATTAACTGTCTGAATAATGATAACGCTTTGACATTTGCTTACGAAATTTCTTATGAAATTATCTCAATTTTTTCCCTCTATTTTTTCTTTTGCAGCCCGCCACGACTGATAAGGATTGGGTAAGTACCAACTATTATCACGCATTCGTCGTAGATGTTCCTCGAGAAAGTGAATTGCGATCGAACATACATCGCTCAAAGAAAAATGTATTCGCATACAGTGACGAATCATGTTATTGATGGCTCGCCAAAGTCATTGACTCGCAAATTATCATGGTCTCGTCCCGCGTCCATATTGGCAGAATACTGTTTTGGATGTGTGTAAGCTGAGGCATATCTTGCGTATATACATATATGCGTATAATATGTATATACTATATCGACAGACAATTACAATAAAGTATTCACATCATTATACTAAATTGAAATTATGAGAATAAATACAATATAAATGTAATTACCATATATATTCACGGCTACCGAAAGAGAGTTGTATCACGATAAACGCGTCACAAAGTCCACAAAAGATAACGTTCTATCGCGGCAATGTGTTGAAATTTTGGTGATTATTTACGGAGGAAAGAGGAATATAGGGGTATCATTGAGACATCGAGCTCTCGCTATAATTTGCCGACGATAAAGTAATATTTAAAAACATTAAAATTGTTGGAGGGTGGAGTAAGAAAAAATAATACCAAAAATTTTAAAGAGTCGATTGCAAATTAATATTAACGTATGAATCAATATTAAATATTCTCTTTTGTTTTAATATTATTCCTATTATCTAACGCAATAATTAATCCATGTTGATAAGTTTGTAATAATTTAGTAATACAGATAAATAATTTTGAACAAGTAGCGATTAAAATTTAATTTTTCGGCAGATGGGTTTTACTTTGATAGAAATTGAATTCATGACCACATTGAGATATTTAAACATGGATAACAAATTGGCGCTGGATATTTGTTTGACATGTCTGATTTAACAAAGAGCTGTTAAACTTGAAGGCTTTACTTTATTTCTTGATGATTCCTATTGGCAGAAATGGAGGCATATGCAAATTAGATCTTGTGTCGTCAGCTTCGGCCGACGTATTAGGACAATTAATAACAATTGTTTCTAATGGTGAGTAATATCTGCCTATCGGAGTCCAAGATCTATTCACATCGATATTTATATGGTAACTTTCAATCATTAACTAAAATAAGGAAGATGAGATCAGCTTTGTTTTTTTTTTTTTTTCAAAGTAATCTTTTCTCTATGGCAGTTTTACTCTTCTCTCTTCTTGATATAAATAAAAATTTACTGGATATATCATTTAAAACGTTTTCCTATGATATCATTTTTATAGTATAATAATATTTGTGTAACGTGCGTACCTGCACACGCGTGTGACAGCTTATATTTATTTTATACTGAATTATAGTACGATAAAGTGATCAGTGCTAGGCTTTAATTCGATAAACATTTATGACGAGGCTTTCATGTACAACGATTAAATATTGTACATTTCTGCGTTACTATTCTTGAGTTAGTTCGAATGGTTTTTCAGAGATATTTTCAAAGCTATCCGAAAATATGTCGAGATAATTTATAACATGTATCAATGAAGTTTGATACATCTGGAGAGGTTTGAAAGCAATGTTTCATTAAAATCCATTCGCAATGATATTTATTGGTACAATAACGACATTTATTTTTAATATCTCGTATAACATATAATTGTTACACACGCAAGTGTACTGTATCAGAGGCAAAACGAATCTCGAAGTCAGCTATATGAGTTCGCCGGAACATGTGCGTGAAGTCGTAGAAGTGGTCCGTTTCAATGCGGCTTAATTGTAAAATTGACACATACTAACATGACTTAACCGGTCGTCATCAACAGACCGCGTCCGGTATCGTATGTGCTCTCCGGTACGCACCGTCAGAAGCGTGCTTATAAGAAACATAAAGAGAATCACTTCAAAGTGCAAAGATTAAGAGATGCTCAAAGTGCCATGTGTATTTCCAATTTTTTTTTCCGAGACGACAAAGTGCGCATAATGTTTGCTTATAAGATCGTGGAAGTGTAAACGTATAATGTGAGCTAAGAATATTCTGTAGGAGATAGAACACTTTTTTCAGAAGACTGTAGAAATGCTGTACAAGCAAAAATGTTTTAAGAATACCTGGGATGCATTCCACGTGGGCGATAATGATACGAAAAAATATTCTGGAAAGGAAGCATTTTGAAAACATTTTGAAGAATAATCGCGAGAGATAGAAAATCTAATTTTTTAATTAATTTTATAAATAATGTTTATTTTTCTTTTCTATTATAGTCTATATTTTAAGAATACTTTATATCATTATCTCTTCTTATACATTACATCCCGGTAAAAAATTTTTCATGAATATGTATAAATATGTATAAAGATACATAAACACGTATAAATATTCATAAACATGTATAATTATATATGAAATATGTCCATACATGTTCATATATCCTTTTTTCTTTTGTAAAATTACTTTTTAGTGTAATAAAAATAATAATAGTAATGTGACAACATAAAAAATAATTAAAGGGATAATTTTCGCATGGTTTGTTTTAGAAAAAAACAAGTTTGGAAAAAGTAAAAAAAATGCTCATACATAATTATGCATGATTTTATATATAATTATACATAAATAATATTTTTACATTTCTTCAAACTCGATTTTTTCTAAAACAAATAGTGTGAAAATTACCTTTTTAATTATTTTTAATGTTTTCACATCAGTATTATTATTTCTATTACACTAAAAAGTAATTTTACAAGAGAAAAAGGGATGTATGGACATATTTCATATATAATTATATATGTTTATGAATATTTATACGTGTTTATGTTTGTTTATACATATTCATGCATGAAAAATTTTTTACCGGGATTTTATAATAAATCTCACATACGCGATCGAACATAGTTTAGAACGTAGTTTTGTGCAATGTGATACGATATTGTTACAATCTGCACTTCCGTTAATAATAAATATATGCGCCTCTCTTATCACGCGATATTTTGATTTTTCTGCATCGCATCACCAAACGTTCCAGTTTTTATTTTTTTCGTAATACGAGTACGATTAGAATTACTTCGTGTTGAATATCTCGAATCAATCGCACAGTTGGATCGCAATCCTCATAGTTGCTATATCTCTTTCTCGACGCAAAATCAGAAAACTATTGTGCGTCATAAAATTATTTATCTATTAATTCTCAGATGTCCTCTCGTACTTAAAAAAAAATATTAGAGACAAAGTCAATTATTATTAATATAAAAATTATGTATAATTCTGCTAAAAACTCTCGCTGTCGTCGTAGTTTTCCCAGGTCGTGCTATTATTGAGTGCCGCGCCTTTTGTGCTTCAAACTGCTCGGTGATCCGCTATTTCTTTTCGTCTTTTTAGTGGGGCGTCCCCCCTTCGTCGTGCGGTAAGGGTGCGTGGGATGGTGAAAGGTTAACGCAACCGGAATCCAGTCCTGGACCGCCCAATCGCGCTGTCGTTGTACCGGTCCCAGAGGAAGAGGGGGGACACGAAGGGAGCGTGCGGGGTCTTTTGAAAATCGGCTTCGGTTATACCATCACACGAATATCGGTGGCAGTTGCGCGCGCTCGCGATTATAGTACGGAGGTCTCGTTAGCCGGAGTTGTCATCTCGAGATTTTTCTCGACTCGAGCGAATTTTTGAAATCGCGCTCTTCTCACAGACGATATTTTTGAGGAGCAGTTATATCGGAAGAAAGAGTGATTGTATTACGAAGAAAGACATTTGACTCTAAAAGAAGAAGAACGGGAGATTTAGAGAAAAGATAGAGATAGCAAAAAAACAGAGTGTATCAAGTGCGGATTATTCGCATCAAACATGGAACTCAAGGTAAAACTCTCAAACGAGTTAAGACATCTTTTTATGCTTAAATATAAATAATATGCTCGCAAATAAATTAAAAAATTTTGATAGCTGACAAATTTGTAGAACTGAATTTTTTAATGCAGTCGTAATTAAATTAATTTGTAATTAAATAGAAATTTAATTCATGGAATTAAATTTCTTTTAAATTAAACTTTACTTAAAATCGAAAGGAAAACATGATTTTGTCCTTTATATCTATTATTCTGAAAACTTGATTCACGATAAGTCTACCCTTTTTAATTGCTAATTATTCAAAAGTTAGCTTAGCATTTTTGTAAAACAAACTCTATGCAAGTTGAACAAAAAATTATAAATGTACTTGTTATATCAAGGTTAATTCTGGAATTGATATGCAGCAAAACTAGATATGTATATTTCCATAGAACTGAAATAAAAGCTCGACTTGTGAAAAGGTCGACTTGGTATATATTATTTAACGATTGTAACTATTATAGAGCTCCATTAAAATTTTATAACAATATTGAAGATGCCATGTAAAGTTCATGACTCTAATTAACTCGGGATTTCATGATATGTTTTGGAAAAATGAAAGATATTCGAAACTTGTGACATCGGTCACTAAGAGAATGTTTAATATAAAGTTTAGACGTTGTATAGTGAAATCAAACGGACCGAAGCATGTCAGTTGTATCGATTTGTTCGGTTCAGTAAACTTCTCGTTTGCCCTCAAATTTAATCCCTAAATCTACCTTTTTCTCATTTTTCACAATTTTTATGTATAAAATAAAACAAAAATATACGTAATAATTACATCTTTTAAGCATCAAAACAAGATAGTGACATGATATGTACGATACTTGCCTGAAAACACACAACATGTTTATATTTAAGTTTACATTTTGAAGCAATTGAGATAAATGCGTACAGCGTCGCTAAAAGAAAATTAAGTAAACATTAAACAAACGAAAGAAAAATAATTCTTACTTTATTGTACGAAACTTTAATTTGATTAAAAGTTCAATGCTTGCCTTTTGATTGTAATCATTTAGATCAAATTCTAATGAAATTGAAGAAATTTTTGTTTCGTAAAATAAAATTACCTTTTACTCAAATCGTAAAAATATTGCGAAGAAATCAATAAATCCATGAGTTACAAATCCACGAATCATAAATATTATGTTTAATTTTTCTATATAAATAAATATTAAACAGAGGTTTGGTGTATCGAAAAGTTGAGATTTTTCAGTTTGATGTACTGCAAAGGAGCTTCGTGTTATACGGTGATTGGCTGTGATTCGATAATAATCAAAAACGGAGGAAGTGCCTCGTCAGTGCTCCTTAAATACTATGTATGAGTGACAAGAGCTAGTCGAAAGCTCCCATTGAAACTTATTATTATCATTAGGCTCCATTTTCGCCGCATATGAAGCGAAATACTATTATCGTGCGTGAAATTTTCATAAAAAGTCCTCCGACGAAAAAAAATGCAATCGGCTTAGTAAGTTAATCATGCGGAACAGGATGACACGGGAGGTAATTAAGTCTTTTCTCTACTTGGAAACACGTGACTTTTGCGTTCTAAAGTGTTCGTAACACTTCGGAACAATAGTTAATATAGCTAAAATGATTAGCGTTGCATCGTCATCTTCGTAGAATTCCAAGAAGACGATTACACGCGATTATCATAATGTGCAAATAGTCATTATCATTCCACTGCGTATCATATGGGTCGTTCTGTGACTCCATAAGGGACGTGCATATTAATCAGAAGTGTGCCACAAAACAATCTTCTTTGCAACATCCGATCATTCTAAAGATATCCGAGATCTTTTTTCGTCATTTTTTGCTTTACAATGAAAGCCAAGAAGGTCGATCAATTGAAAGAAATAACAAAGATAAAATCGCGCGATGCAATTCTATGTTTTTTGTTGTACTGGCTTATCAATAGAAATTAGCATATCATGCATCTCAATTTTTTAGTGAATAAAGTTTCACAAACAGTAAAATCTTATCCACAATATTATCGTCTCGATACGAAACTTTTGCGGGGCGCTCATTAAATAATCATTAATATTTTCTCAAGAGTGGAAAATTACTTTAGAGTCCCTATCTAATTTTTACAACGATATATCGTTATATTATTATTGTACAACCCTTTTTACTATATATTATTAAAACCCACGACACCGACACTGTCATTAAAAGTTACGGAATAGAGGCCTCTTATTTTAATCAAGTTTCTTTCGTACAAGATTTATCCTGATCGTTAAGAAAGAAATGAAAATTGTAAGGGGCGAAAAGAGAGAGAGAAAGCGGAGTAGGAAAGCGGTACGTGTTTCGGAACGGGGCTAGACATCCATATCAAAGAGACAAGAGCATTTGCGGACCTTGTACGGGGGCGCGCGTTCTTTTCGCCGTTGGTCTCGTGGCACGTCGAAATTAGCGACTTGGCGAGGTAACCAGGACAACGGCGTCTCGAAAACAGGCAGCACACGTTTAGACGAATGTCGGTGGCGCGCTCGTGCTCACGCGAGTATTCGAGTTATTTTTAGCGCGCTCAAGCTTCTGTCGTCGTCGTCGCCGCCGCCGCCGCTCTCTCGGGGGGGCTCGACCGTTGGATGCACCGACAGCACCAATAGCGCGGCGACACGCCTTCGCCACGGCCAATGCAGTTGCGAGCGGATTTCGTTACGAGTGCATATGCACACTACGAATAGCTCGTAGTTTCTTTATGACGCGGAATACGTCACAACCTGGAACTTTGCTATGCAGAAATCCGACGACCGAATATCCCTTACGCATGTGACCGCAATGCGTGTGTATGGGATATCCGCTGTGCCGTATACGATTACAATGCTCGTACGCAACGCACGCATGCCCGGCTGGCCAACCGTTGGAACTGGTTAGAACGGCTTCTAGCCGTTCATAGGCGTCACCTCCGATCAATGATAGAGCGGACACCGCCTAGACAGCACGGAATATTTATTTTTTTTTAATGTTATGTAAATATTTTATACATATTTTATATGAAGCTTTATTCGAAATATTATTAAAAGATGGGAAATAAATATTTAATGTAATATTTATGATAAATAGAAATAAATATTTCTGTTAAGTATCTCTTATTTGGATTATAATGTATTATTACTATAAGTATTTCCATAGCGCTAAAAGATTTACAATAAATATTTCATAATATTTTTATAATAAATGTTTATGATCTATGCAATCTAAGACCACAAAATATTTTAAATAAGCCTTATAAATATTTATTAATATTTAGTAAATATTTTATAAATATTGTGTGCTATCTGGGTAAATAAAGAGTTATTTTACTCTTCTTATATCGAGAAGAAATCAATCTTAAAACATCTTTGAAATCACAAGTTGTGTAACTCTGCAATTTAAACTCGATTTCTTTTTATTTAACAATGTAAATTCTAATCGATAGAAGAACCGGTAAGAAAATAATAAAGAAAAAAAGATAAATTTATTTACATTTGCAATTAAATTTAATATTAAATTAATTTAACATTCAAATAACTATTACAAAAAGACAGGCGGAAAAGTTTCAAATTAAAAGCTAATTTTCCACTTTGATGAATTAGAAATTCAATTTCGCGGAATAAATTCTTGTTTAACTCATTGTCAGCTATTTACTTGCAAAAGTGTTCTATTGTTCTGACAGGTTTCTCATGAATTTTATAACAGAGATTATCCGCGTAATAAATACGTATATCCTCTGTCTAAAAAAATTGAATTCTCTAAGAAAAACTGACAGAAGTTTATGTTACAAAATAATAGCCTGTTTAAAATGCAAAATAAATTTGAAATTGTGATACGAAAAATTACAAGGGGAAATTGATGATAGAAGGTAACATAGAAATGTGATTCAGGTCGTTTCCAAGGTTTCATGGTTGCATTCGCCGACCATGATCTAGATGGTTTTATCCACTGTCTCGTGTGTGCGATCAATATCACTCAGTTTTATAACACACACGCACTCCATCACAGAGATATTGTGGATTGATGGCGTCTAGGGTCGACACCCTTACACAGATTCGCGTGCGGACATTAATTTATCAGTTTTTAACATTAAACACGGCATTTATAGCCGTGATTATATTAAAATGATTTCATTAAAGACTCAAAATTAAATGAAAATAACATATTTTGTTATCAATTTACGTTTTGCCTTGATTTTGCCTTGAAAACTCTGTTTAAGTTAACACTTGTTCTAATAGCTCTTCCGTTCCTATCTTCACATGTTTGTTTTGCAAAAATTATTTTTTTTTAATTATTTCGTTTCAGTGATTTTGCACGTTTTCTTAAATATACATTATATATCTGCATTTGAAATAAATATAATTGTGTGGAAATTAAGTAACCTTCAAATTAAATAAATCATCAGAAACGGCTAAATATTTGAAGGCGACTTTTTATGTCGCATTGGAATAAATTGCGAGTCGCTTTAGCATTGGTAATCTCTTCAGTCGTGCCCCTATCTTCGTGATATGTATTGGTTAATAGAATGGTTATCGCTGCGAAGAAATAAGTAAGCATTTGTTATTTATACTTTTCGCCTGATTGCATATTTTTATATTTCGACGATAATTGCGGGACAAAACATTGTGTTTTGTCCTTGTAAAAATCAAGTGAATTCTAAGGATCAATTACATCTAATAAAAATGTATAATGCGAATGTGTAGCTTCTTAATTTACAAAGTCAAGTATTTGACTGATCAATAATTGAATATTTTTATTTTTTATTATTATTTATTCCTTTCATAGATAAATTGAAATAAAATTCTCTTTTTGTATTCGATCAGATTTTAAAAGCAGTCTATATATTTTAGAAATTAGATATTTAATATCACATTTAACATGTGAATCTGTTCCAATTCGTTTGAATTAAACAATTTTCACTATAAGTACAGTGAGCTTCAACACAATTTTATATTGATTCTTCTTGTGACTTCCCTTAATCGAGAATATACACAGCCATATTAGTAATAAATGTTAAATAGTACGAACTGTCAGGATTTAGATTCGTGCCTATAAATGTCTTTTACGTAACGCTTCGTTTTTGCATTTCCGAGAGATCGTTTCTATTTGTGTGCTTCTATAGTACTGTATATCATTTTCCGTTATTATTAAAATGCAATGCATGGACTTTATCATTTACAATGTATGTGCGTGTATAAGTAACAAATCAGCGAAAAAAATGATATAAATGTTATCAGTGAGACAGATCATTTTTTATATAGTTCAACAAATTTTTGAAAAATGTTTATACAGAGATCTCATTTTATTTGCGTATAAAAAATTACGCGACCAATGAACGATGCATCACGAGACGAGAATTTAGTACCGCTGCGTTATACAAACTTTGAATCTTTCACTCGCACCAGCGCATAAAAACGCGAGATAACGAAAGATGAGAATGTTTCAGTCGTTATACACAGTATAACGTTAATTTATTAAGAGGGTATTCTCCTTTGTAAGGCTAAAAATTACATGATTATTCTGGAATTTTTTTAAAAGAAAATTAATATATTAATATGAAACTTTTTGGAACTTTATTTGTATAAAATAGATATTTAAAAATTATTTTTTTGTGTCCATATGTATCATACAAAAAAAAATACGCGGTGAATACGCAAGATAGAAAAAATTTCTTTTTGACGCGTTGACATCATTCCGTTAGTTCTGGTAACCTGAAACCAAAAACCAACGATATTATTAAATTGTAAGAGTTACACTATTACTGGAACTAGAATATAAGAAAAAAATTGAAAATTGTTGAGACGGTAATGTTTTGGGAAATGGTATTGATTTTCACCTATAAATTTGTTTCGTTTTTTTTTATATAATAAAATGGAATAATATCGTGTAAATTAAATTCCGTAGTTCCAGTAATAAAAGCTAGAACATATACTAAATGGACACGCAAAAATTCAAGTCGATCGGACGCTTAGTTCCTGAGGTATTATGTCAACGCGGTTGAAAAATACTGTATTAGATGTCGATTCCATTATCATTTGACTAGGCCTGCGGATCATTTTAGTAAACAATGAATAACTCAGTTATTGTACATTATTTCTATATGAACGGCATATATGTTCAAGGCTATCAACTTTCCGAAAATGCAATAAAAAAATCGATTTTTTTGACCCGACAAAGTAGAATACCCTCTTAAATCCAACATTATAATACTACCAGTTTAACATTCGAACGATTTGCATCTATCTCTAAGCTTATTTATTGTTAGCTCGACCGTCCAGCTAAACAAGGTCTAATTTGGCTCGTATTATTTTAAGAATTGAATTATCTCAAATAGATAAAGATCGAAGACACAAAATTGTAAAGTGGACAACTATCGCAATGTAAACGCTTTAATAGATTTGTTTACTTTGCTGCTCTCTTTCGCATATTCATATTCGGATGAAATTAAATAAGATTATTAGAGCATATTATGCTCTTGCAGAGCTTTGAGAGATAAAGAGAATGGAAAAATTGAACAAGAAGCAAGTAGAAGATAAGTTGCAATTGTTACTTATTTTGTAAACAGAATTTAAAGTCCAGTGTATGATCTGACGGAACAGAATTTTTTTCAATGAATACAGTCTCGGTGCATAGTACATAGCGTTGTTATCGTATATCTGCGTACCAAGTGCATTCGGCTATCGGACTGACGACGTCAAAGAAGATTCACAACATTGTCAAAAATGCATTGATAAATATTTATATAAGTGCTATGCATATGTAAACATACTCGTTTGGAATAATATGATGATGATGCGCTTCATTTGCGATTCCTGTGATGTGATCCATCCATGCATTTTCTACGTTCTCCAATTGCAATTGTCGTGAAATGTAGAGAAGAAATTATTTCATTTTTTTAGTTCGAGAGTTATTCTTCTATAATTTTGATACTAATGTTATTAATTAAAGATTTAATGCAATACAGCGACCGCAAAACCTAACAGTGAGTAAATTACAATAATCCACAAAAAATAAATGAAGGTAATTTGAAAGAAATTCATATCTATGTTAAATAATTAATTCTCGTTAGCGATTTGTCTTTTACTTCTTTTTTTAATGTTAGTACAATTAATTGAACACCGAGCATAGAAACAAATTCGCATAAAAAAAAATTTTAATAGGATATACTTAATTTACGCGGTTTACGCCATTGTTTAGCACACATTGAAAGTTCTCGCGTGTAACGATAACGGAGTGTCGGTTCTCCATGGAAATGATGTGTGCGAGTGAGTACGCATCATATACTATACTTATGCAAACTCAATAAAAAAAAAGATCATTAAGTAATGTACGTACATCGTAGTGCCGTGTTAAATAATGCGACACATACGTATGCGTATGGAATGTGTGTGTATATTCCAAATGGAAAGATGTATATGCTCCACATGCGTACGCGTGTATGTGTGCGTGTTGTATGGTCTCCTAGTATAAGAATGGCCAGCGAGAATACCAACTCACCAGTCTTCGGCACATGTTCCGAGATACTTGAGATACTGGAGAACGACACAACATTAAGACTTAACTACGAAACAAACGATCCGATATAACGCATGTAATTCTTTCGTCTATCGCGTGTATGTCGATTGGTGAAAGTGAAATATTGGAACGTGATCTAAAGTGCGTGTCTTTGTAAGGAAAGCTTTCATTCAGGATGACGATAAAGTCGACCGACTTCGAGATGCCGTATGTGAGAAGAACGGTATGCACGTCTCTGCGCAAAAGTAGCAGTATTTCCGGTATTAGAAGATACGAAAGAAACTCGATCTCTATGAAATGGGATGGCTTCCTTTTTACGTTAGAAACGTTTCTTCTTTTCCCATATCCGTATATATAATAAATATATATACGCGAGATACTCTAATGAAAATAAAACATAAAGATATACGAAAATTTTATTTAATAAAATAATATTTCTCGCGAATATTTCGCGGTTCACTATTTGTACGACAGATATTCGATTTTTCCGATTTGACAGCTAAAAGTCAGTAGGCAATATTATACTTGCGCGTTGAATATTTATCACTTCTTCAATATGCCTGACTATACGTCTGATATCGATATTTGCATTTCAAGAAGAAATATAACGACGTCATTTCGAAAATGCTAAAAGAATATTCCTTACAAGAATTTTTCGAAGGAATATTCCTCTTCAAATTTAAAATCAGAAAATTAATTAAAATTATACATAAATATTTTCTCTTTTAATATAAGATCAAAATAACATATTTAATATAAGATAAAAATACATATTTTTCCTGTAATAATTTTAAGATAAGATTTCCCATCTATATATATATATATAATTCTTGCAACATCTTATATTGACCCATTTGCAAGAACATTTGTCCAAACTGTTACATTTACTTTTTCTTAATATATACACAGAAAAAAAGGTTTCTTTAGATTTAGTATTCCTATAAGAAATTTATTTTTAAATTATATATTTGATTAAAATTTATTTGATTGAAACAACATATGCTTGTACGAAATATTATTTGTTTGAATAAAAATTTTGTTGTTTCATTCAAGAAATCTCTATTGCTTGACAGAAATAACATTATTATTTGAAGTAATATCTTTCAATCAAATATAATATATTATTTGATTACACTGAATACAAACAATGAAACAAATTATTTATTTAAAAATAACAAAATATATTGATAGAGATTTTTCCACGCAAATAATTGCTTTCTTAGAACAACGATTACATTTTTTGGCCGAAATTACTATGTGCTATATCAATTATGTTTGTGCCATACAGTTTGATCACGCGAATGCCGAAGATAGACATTATCTGTTCAAACAAATAATGTACTTAGGATAAAGATATACATTGTTTCTAATTCAAACAATCATACTTATATTGATTCAAACATCATTTGTTTATTTGAACCATTCCAAATAACAAATTTATTTTAACTCAATAACATTTATTAAATTCAAAGAAATCTTTTTATCCATGTAAGAAGTATATATCGTCTAAATTGTATTTTTATGTTAGAATTACGAATCCATCCAATAATATGATAGTAAAGTACTTATGATGTACGGAAAAAAATAAATAAATAACGAGTGAAAAAAATTATGAAAATTATTAAATAAATGTTCTAACGTTTATAGCTTATCGAAGACTGGATCAAAGACCTGAAAACAAACCGCACGGGCGTCCCAACGGAAAAAACGGAAGTGACGTTAATTTGGTCGTTGGCGGTGTCGATATTTTGCGTCGGTGGAATGATAGGGGGTTCCATGATAGGCTGGGTAGCGGATCGCTTCGGCAGAAAGGGCGGTTTGCTGTTAAACAATATCCTGGTCCTGGTGACTGTGATCTTCGAAGGTAGCGCCAAGGCGGCGAAGAGCTACGAAATGATAATCATCGGCAGGTTCCTGATCGGTATAAACTCCGGGCTGAATGCTGGCCTGGCACCGATGTACCTAGCTGAGATCTCGCCCGTGCATCTACGTGGCGCCGTGGGCACCGTCTACCAGCTAGTCATCACCATTTCGATTCTGGTATCGCAAATTCTCGGTCTGGAGCAAGTCCTTGGTACTGCCGAACAATGGCCGTTGCTACTATGCTTGACGATCGTACCAGCGATCTTCCAGATATGCACGCTGCCTCTCTGTCCCGAGAGTCCGAAATACCTGTTGCTCAATCGCGGCAAGGACATGGATGCACAAAGAGGTAGGAAGGAATATAATTTATTTCGTCGTACAAATAGCGAATGTAAAGCGCGAATTATAAAGCTAAAAGGATAAAAGTGATACTTTTTGAAAGGAATTTATGAGCATTCCTCGAAATCATAAATTGTCTTCTTTTAATCTGTCGTTTTATGCGTCATATAATAAATTTAAATCCTTTGTCCGATCTGTTCACTTTGTCGGCTTTGTCCGAGTTCATTTTTTCATATTTATCGTTTTTCCTTTCTTCTTAATAGCGCTGTCCTGGTTACGTGGCACGATCGAAGTTCATGACGAGATGGAAGAAATGCGAGCAGAGTACGAGTCGGTGAAACTGGTGCCGAAGGTCACTCTGCGCGAACTCTTTGTAAATCCAGCGCTTCGTATCCCGTTATTCATCTCGATCATGATTATGTTCGCCCAGCAGTTATCCGGCATAAATGCCGTCATGTTTTTCTCAACGAAGATCTTCAGGATGGCGCAACTCGACAAGCATGCCGCTCAGAACGCCACGATGGGAGTTGGCGCTATGAACGTTTTAATGACCATCGTCTCTTTAGTATTAGTAGAAAAAGCAGGCAGAAAAACATTACTCTTGGTCGGATTTTCCGGCATGTTCGTGGATACCGCTCTACTCGCCATTTGTCTCGTATTCGCTGTAAGTATTCTTAAACTACGGTCAATTTGATATTACGAATGCTCCGAAGCATTTTTTTTATTGATCACTTGGAAAAATTCTTTTTTCCAATTGCTCAATCAAAAGCTTCGAAGCATTTGTAGCGCCAAGTGAACCGCACTCTTATTCTTTAGTTAATCAAGATATATACAACAACTCTCGAAGTCTTTTGAAAAGAAATACAAATAAACTCTCGAGAATGTCAAAATATAAATAGAGAACAGGCTAATGAGAGTTTTTTCTTTGAAAAGACTTTGAGGGTTGTTTTATATCTTGACTAACTAAATTAATTTGAGATCATAATTAAATGTTTTATTTGTACATTGTAGGAAACCTCACGCGCAGCAGCATACTTCTCGATTGTGCTTGTCATCATGTTCGTCGTCCTATTCGCCACTGGACCAGGAAGTATTCCGTGGTTCCTGGTGTCAGAGTTGTTCAATCAATCCGCCCGACCACCCGCTACCTCCATCGCCATCGCCGTCAACTGGACTGCAAACTTCATCGTCAGCATTGGTTTCTTGCCGCTGCAGGAGGTACTAGGCGCTTACGTGTTCATCATTTTTGCGGCGTTGCAGTTGTTCTTTACGCTCTTTATATACAAGAAAGTGCCGGAAACGAAGAACAAAACTATGGAGGAGATTAGCAGTATGTTTAGGCAAATATCGTATCAGTGAGGAATACAAAAAATGGGTAAAATATTTTCTCAAAAGCAAAATGCAGCAGGAATGAATATAAGTGCGTTCGTTTCTCTTTTTCTTTTTCTGTGTCGAAGAATTCAACGGTTTCGCGAAAATGGTACATACTATTTTATGATCTATTAACGCGCTTCCAACATTCTATCCACGCGCAATATCAAAATTCATCGAAAAGATACTCGGTGAATATTTGTGCATAATCATGATGTGTACTACGATGTATTCGACGTAGTTACATCCTGCAATATCGTGCCAATCCGGAAAACTTAACTTTTTGTTATTTAATTATTCTACTTTTTAAATTTTATTTTTAATTTCTTTAATTCGGAAACTGTGTTCCAAGTCGAGTCGCACGAACACGCGCACATGATTTCGCCTTGGGCTTTAAAATTGTAAACTTAATCTTATAATTAGTTCCTATGTATTGCGTCTAGCGAAGAAAAAGTCGCGAGAGAAGAACAATCGAAATGATGCGAAACAGCTTAGAAAACATGATTCTTTCACGAGTTCTTTTCGAACAATAATTTGTTCCTTGCTTTAGGGACAATATAATATATTACTTGCCATTACTTGTACGAGTACGAAAGACCATAACTCTAGTCATGAAAAAACCTGTAGACGGAATATACCCACACAATACAATTCTCTGAGAAAAGTCCTAAGGACGTCCTTAAGACGTAGATGTCCTTACGACATCCCTTGAAAAACTGTGTTGTATGAGTACTTTTGGAAGACTCTTATACGCTGGTTGATTTTATTTTTATTATCCAACTCTTACGATTTATTTTACATCGACAGATTCGTACCGCTTTGCTAAGCGAATTTTTAATGCGATATATCACGTGAATATACCATATTTTAAAGAAATTAATAATTGAGTACAATTTTATAGAATAACGGTTTTACAATAGCGCATGAAAAACTTGCGTTCCTCCTATCGAATCATATTACATCACGTTATTGTAAAAGAATTTAAAAACTGTTGTTAAAAAAGGAATTGAACTGATTATGTCGATAAATGAAGAGCGTACGTATCAATTGCTTTTTTATGAAATAATTTATAATAAAAATTTAAAGAATATTTTATTATACGTAAACTGAAACACGCAAGTTTTATTCGAACGAGAACGGAAAGAATGATGTTAGGATAATTGTAAATAAATCCAGAGATATGTAAAGATTAGTATTGTGCATAGCGTAGGTAATAGTTATATTTATGTATGCATGTAGATTTGATTAATGTGTTTAAGACTATATCAACATCATATTTTTAAATTATTTAGATTAATTTTAATGGTGTATACATATATGTGAAAGGAAACGTGCGATATACTGAACGTAACTCAGGAATTTACGCTGATCGTTATCTCGTAAACAGCAGATGGATACAATGTTTTATTTTTACGCTGTATCTTTCCGTATCTCTCAAGGAATACTCATTTGTAACCAGTTTTAGTATATGTATATTAAAACTTATTGATGATATATATTGTACAACAAAAGGCATCTAAGTTTGATAATTCGTTAAATAAATCATCGATTTTTATCTACTTTGTGTAAAATATATCATTTGAAAAAAAATCTGATCAATCGAGATTCATTTTTATTATGTATATGATTAGTACGTTATGTGTATGATTTAGTACGTTATCCACACTAGTATGAACAATGTATGCAAAGTGTGTTAATCGCAAATGATTCAACTTGTCGCAAAACTGTAAATAATAATGATTCTCTTATCTTTTAGTTAATTGATCGCTAATTATCATATAAGTTTTTGCAACGCAATTAGCATTTTAGATGATTTTTTTATAAATAAATCTGTAGACTCTTGCTAATCAAAAGGAATAATTAACATTAAATTCTATAATTTATCGTTTGTACATGAAAAATTGTTTACTATAATTGTGACAATACATCAGAATTTAGCATCCCTATGCATATGCCTGCCTACAAAATGTGTTATAGTTTTATAATACTCGATGCCAATATCATCCAAATAAAAAGGAATATCAAGAGCAAAATATATGTATTTTTAAATTACTCGTATCGTTTAAAAATCTTCTATATGCAACGATATTTATAATGTTTATACAATCCTATCGCTGATTTCGAATCCGGACCCAAAATTTGAAAAATCAAAATGGCTGAACCAATATGGCGGATAAAAATGTTACAGAAATATTAAAAATCCTCCAATTTTAGCAAAATGTAGCATTAAAGGATTTTCGGGGTCGTTGATGCCGAATTCGAAATAAAAATTTGAAAATAAAAAATAGCTAAACTAATTATATATAACGGAGGAAATGTTATGGAAATGGTAAAAGTGTTCCAATTTTTGCGAAATGTAGTGTTAGAGGATCTTCGAGGTCGCTAATTTCGAATTCGAACACAAAATTAGAAAATTCAAAATGGTTGACTAATATGGCGGACGGAAATGTTATGAAAATATTCGAAGTCTTTCGATTTTAGCGAAATGTAGCATAGCAGAGAACTGTCGTTAAAACTGCTATAAGCAATCAGCACGACACATTTTCTGCAAGTGTCGTGCTAAATCCAGATATTAAAAAATTAATAAAAAATATGAAGCGGCCAGAATTCTGTTTAAAAATTTGAAATATGGCAGACAAAAATATGCAAATTATAAAAGTAAGCCTGCTAATTTTCGCGAAATGTAGCATTAAAAGATTTATGGAATCACTGATTCCAAATTCAGACATCAAATTAGAAAATTCAAAATGGCTAAACCAATATAGTACACAAAAATGCTAAAAGTCGCTCGATTTCGACGAAATGTAGCGTTAAAAAGTTTATGAATTGGCGGATTCCAAAATCGAATTTTTGCGGTTGTTTTGATACCAAATCTGAGTAAAGGGTTTTCAAATACGTCGTTGATTCCGATTAAAAACTTAAAATTTGAAGGAAAAAATAATTAATGTTTTTTGTCTGTATTCAAAATTTGCAGTATAAAAGGTCACCGATTGAAATGTCTTGAAATTAAATGATTTTCTTCTGTCACAAAAAGATCATTTATAACAATTGAAACATCATTTCGTTAGGGATTCATGTCAATTTAATATAAATTGATATCTATTATCATATCTAACCATATCGTATTATAGATCAGTTTGTAAGAATCAAGATAAACTAAAGGTTGCTTAATTTAAGTAGCGCGCGCTTATAATAGGCTAGTAATTAAAACGTAAGATAGGAAAAACTATTTTATACATATATGTGGTACAGCAAATTTTATATTTGTTGAATATGTTCAAATATGTTGAAACTCCAAAATATAGCTTCTGATAAGTTCTGATAAGAATTCCGTCGAATGATTTATTGCAAATGACAATTTTATGATTCGAATTTATTGATCGCTCTTTTACCGCTTACCGATTAATCGGTTTCTCAATTATTGCGATGAGATAAATAAGAAATCTTTACACGGTAGAGTGCACAAAGCGCTGCTGTCGCAAATCAACCGCAATATATCGCGAAAAGAATGTTTTAGCGTCTTAATTTTCTATTTTTTAATATACTATATATAATTTCTATACTAGTCTATCGTAGAAAATAAATAACGATCTCCAATACCAACCGGGCACGACTAATCGTAGTGAGGTCGAAAACGCGACGAGGCGCGGGTATCGTTCCATTTCGTTCCGTTCAAGTACTCGGAGTAAACACGAAGCGGAGGCGCCGTGCTCGCACAACCTCATGCGTGTGCTTGCTGGTTGCTAGCACTCGCGAGTCGTGCCTCGCGGTTGTATATTCCTTCTCGAGCGAGAGGTGGAGAGAGTTAACAGGCCAAGACTCCGTGTCTGTTGGCGTCGCGTCCGTCACGTCACGTCGCGTCGCGTCCGCTCGAGTCTCGAGAGGTGGCCGAGCGAACCACCGAACGACGGCGGCGATATTCGCGTTTGTTGTCGCCGCAGGACGGCAGGACGCTCAGACGTCAGCGGTCAGAGACGCTTTAATGTGTATGGGGCGAGTGCGGGTGCGGGGCATGCTCGTAGCGGGTGCAGATGGTCGCGGTAGTCGCCGCGGCGTCGGCGGCAAAACTGCGGCAACTGCGCTCGCCTCAACAAAATGTCAAACCAGTCAAACGTCAGCTCGCTTGGCTCGCTTGGCTCGCTGTCCGAGCGACTCGTCGTGAACGCCGTGAACGCCGTGAACGGTGAGAGGAGCAGGAGCAGGAGCAGCGTCAACGCTGCTGGTGCCGCCACCGGCGCTGTCAGTGGCAACGGCGGTTGCCGCGGGGCGAGAGGGGTAGGAAAGGGCAGTTGCGTGGGTGGTGGAAGTGTCTTTGATTCTTACAGTGGTGCCGGTTCTTGCGTCAGTCACGTTAGTGCCGGTAGTAATAAGAATAATAATAATACTACTGATATCATTGGTAACGGCGGCGTACTCGTTGTTACCGGCGGCGTCATCGGTGGCGCCGCGGACGGTCTCCGCAACGTGACGTTGTCCGACGCCTTTCGCGACACGACGCCAGTGAATTTCTGCCGCGAGACGACAGTACCGCGTACCTGCAGCGGCGACTGTCGTTGTTGCACCTACGCTGTCGACGCGTTGTTATCCTCGGTGACAGGATCGACGACGTACCTGACTAACGGCGGCGGAGACGACGTCGCCGACGACGACGACGACGACGACGACGTCGACGTCGCAACGTCGATCAACTATCGTGAGATTACATTGAGCAGCACTGGAACCAGGACGACGACGACGCCGTTGCTGCTGGACGCCGGTAGCGTCGACGCGAAAACGATCGACAGAAGTGGAAACAGCAACTCTACAAACGCCGCTGCCGTCGTCATTGTTGACGTCGCGCCGTCGTTCCACGACGTCGACGACGACGACGACGAGGATATTGACGACGACGACGACGACGACGACGACGACAGCGACGACGACGAAGAAGACGAGGACCGTCGCCGCTACCACAATCGCGGCAAAATGGTCGCGGCGATGAACGAGCACCTGTCGAACGCTACGACGACAACAACATCGTCACCACCGGCGGTGGCAAACGCCATCCGCAACACCATCGCGATGTCATCATCATCGTCCTCATCATCGTCATCATCATTGTCGTCGTCGTCGTCCTCGGTATCGTCGGCTATGATGACAGCGACTACCACGAACGCCGGCGGCAATCCTTCCGCCACGATGATGACGATGAGCAGCGTCGGGAGCGGTGCCAATGGTAACAATAACAACGCCGGCGGCGGTGGTTGCACCAGCGCGCGCAACCAGGAGTTCCAGGAGATGGACGGCGACGGCAAGAGCACCAGCGGTAATACCGCTGCCGCCGGTATCCACAGTTTTCCATGTGACTTCGATCATATGTACGCCAGCATGACCGACGGTGCTGCGCCGGCTGCCGCCGCGGCCACCGCAGCCACCGCTCTCGTCGGCGTCAGTCCGCTGCGCGG